ATTAAAAGATTATGCACAAACTGATTCTTGCAGATTGGTTTGTGTTTCTAAGGCATAAGATGGAGAAGAAAGATTGATATTTGAATGTCCATAGATTTGCCATAGATCAGGTCTTCCCTCTCATCTGGTTAACATTAAAGTCTTATGGTGACTGTGTGATTACTGACAGCTGGGGAGACTCGCCCCGGAGGTTCAGCAGAGGTTGAACTATCATCGTCTCAGGACAGGAAGTGGACTTTAAAATTTTGATAAATCCAGAATTTTAACATAATTCATCCCAGAGTGCAGTTGATGAGCAGCTTTAGAGAAAAAATATGCACATATTTAATATTAGACACATCTGAGCTACTTAAGTGCTCATATTAGATTCAAACTTCAACATGACTTTGGTTCTTAAATTGTAGTGCAATGAAATATGAGGATGTGTAGCAGAAATCATAGTAGTATACTTTGATTAAGCTTTATAGAGCATGCCTGTTTGTGAGTAACAATGTGCGTCTCCCCTCAATGATTAACATAATAATTAAACAGGTCCAATATCCAGTCTTGCCCACCCTGTGGACTGTGCTCCTTTGCTGACATGACAAAAGCTGTCTTGAATGTGAAGGTTGTGTTCCAGACAGTATTTATTTATCAGTTTATTTTGTTGGACAATGTTTAAGGTTACACTACTTGATGTAAAAAATAGTGTGCTGTGAATTTTGAATATACAATGATGCTTTTCAAGATAGAATATGTCTATTGTTCGTGGTTAGACCTCTGTGGAAAAGGGGATGTCTCCTGTTTCTGTTGAAGTGCAGAGGAAGTGGGTGCAGAGCCTGTTTTTGATTACACGCCCACATTGCACCCATGCACTTTCATTCAGTTTTGAAACAGATTTAGCTTTTGAATGTCAGTGTGTTTGTACAAATGTTGCTCAGTTGTAAATCTATAAACTATCCTAATTAGTAGTAGCCTGTTACTGATCTTTTTTTTCTCTTAATTTAAACTTAAAATGAACTTGAATTCAAATAATATGTAATATAAAAATGATTAGGAATGATTAGGAGTTAACAATGTGAACTCCCAGTTCTCTAATAGTTTCCTGGTGTAAAATATGTGTGCCTCAGTGGGGGACCAAGATGTGAGGTTGGAATGTGCCTTCATAGTGATAGTTTTGGACTTTGGTGGGTGGGCGTGGGGAAATCATGTCATCTGTGACATCACTGCCACCCAAAGGCCCGGCCTGCTGCCTGGAGGTGGAGTTTCCTTCCTGCACACAGGATGAGGTGCGGTGTGGCCTGACTTACCTTATACTAGCATCATAGCTGTATGCCACTGAACATCCTGCCTAGGGACCATTCTCTTACTTGTAATTTCCCCTTTTAAACATGATATTATAATTCAATAAAAATAATATAGATTTAATATTACTGTCCATTGTTCATTTGTCATTCATCATCAGAGACAAAAGTGCTTCCTCTGTCGCTGAGATTGTGTTAGGTGTTTTGTTTTGGTTCCTAACACACAGTAATAATATCTATGGCCATTAACTAACCTTGGTTTTGTTGCTATGTTGTTTGAGAGCTGTAAAGCACAGGCTTGATAAACTAAAAACAGATTACACAGTGTTAATGATGATGTTCATAATCCTGCAGTTTCAACCTCAAACACACACACCCTGTGTAGTGGTCATGTCTGTACTGGCCTTATCATTGCCTAAGTGCTTTGCTCTGTTTTTCCTTTACTTCTCTCCCTGAGGGTATCCTGAAGGTTAGCATCTCAATCACTGAATATGATCAAGTACTGGTTACCAAGTACTGTGGATTTCAACATTTTGGATTTTGAGTATTTTCAGGGGGAAATTCATTTTATGACTATGATAGTCTCTGAAGGAATATGGTCTGTATTTGTAGTGGTTGTGGTATCCTGTAATCAGAGTTGTATAGTAGTAACAATAGTTACGTTCAGCTATTTTTACACATAGGTCTGTGTTGTTTAGGTGAACTTGTTTGAAATTAAAATAACATTTTAAAAGTCAGTTTTCAAACGACAAATCTGAAAATTGTATTTAGTGTGATTACATCATCATCACAAATGTATAGATTTCTATAAAGTTACTCACTGCTGCTGGAGATGCAGGCTTTTAATGTCTTCTGAGAAACGTGCTTCCTGGTAGTGTCCTGACTCTGAGTCACCATTGGCGTGGTCACTGTGATTTGAGAACTGCTACATCATTTCTGTGCTCAAGAACAGAGCGGTCATCTCCGACAGAAAAAAGTTCAGATAATCAGTGATGTGTTTACCTGGGTAACAGCTTATGGTGATGGGAAAAATACACTGAAAAAAAAAATACACTGAAAATCACCTTGAAAAACACAAGCATGATTTCCTTCCCACAGATCTGACCAAAACCATCACATCTCCATGGTAACATGCAGGTGGCTCCTCCACCAAAAACGATTACACAGTGTACCTTGCAGATATGATGCACTTGTTGTCTAGCTGCTGCAAATTTTCTGCTTATAGTCCCACCGAAGGTCCCTGTGTTGGGGAGGTTAGATGAGACCATCCACCACCATCACCCCCAAAACAGAGGGATATTAAGAAAGGCCTATCATGATAATGTAATATTAGTACATTTGAATTGACTCTCAGTATCTTTAAATATATACAGTTTTGCACCAGATTCGGCTGACCATTTTGTGCTACAGAAAACATAGCTCACAACAGTCACAGTAAATCATTTATTTGTCCTGTTGTAAAAGTACTTAGGAATGTTGTCAGCATTTGGTTTTTGTGATGAGTCCATGTTTAGGGTGTTGGTTTGACATTCCCTGTGCACTCCCCTCAGCTGTCACCACTTAACTAGTCTCTGAGGAGAGCCAGAACTAGAAAACATGGGAAAAATGTCAAAAATGCCTAACTCCTCCCCCCCTCCCTGTGGCTCCCTGCCCACTGGCCCCACCCTTACGTTTGGGTTACTAGGTGACCAAATAGACCCTGGGATGTAAGCACAGAGGTATTGTCTTTTTGGTGATAAGGGTGTCAACCTAATGGGTTAGCAAGCATACATCATTTGATCATGAAAGGAACATGCACCAGGTTCACCCTGTCCCAGTGCATGTTCCTTTCCTGCAATATCCTTTTCCTTACCTTTCCCTTACCATATTGTTGCAGTTGTTAAAAAAAAAAGTGTAATTATACTTTTACTTGTTCTAAACTATAGGGATAGTACAAGATCTCGTGCCACAAGATCATGCGAGACAAAACACACATGAGAAAAAATATCTTGTGAGATACAGAGCAGTTCTAGATTGGAAACAAAAATATTAAATCAAATAAATAACAAAAATGATAATATGAGGCCAAAACTGGAAAATGAATCCTCAAATGTATATTAGGAATTATTTTCAAATCTCACCTTGGCTCGTTCTAGTGGACTCAATCATGTATCCCGTCTTATGGAAATTGTGTCTCGTCCCATCTCTACTAAACTGTATTAAAATACTTTGGGTCAAATTGTTGCTGCAGTATTTGTTCAGATTTTGCATTTTGCTTCTTTTTATAGCGTTGTGTATCTCTAATCCTTACTGCATTGCTGAACAGTTAGTCCAGTGGCCTTTATTGTTTATCTTTTGTCTTCTCCCTGAGGGTAATTGTGTATGCAGCATGCCATTCACTGCAATGCATTAGCTGGAGGTCAGTCCAGGTAAACATTTACTCAAATGGTACTTGCCACCAGAGAGCTCTCTCCTGAGCAAACTATCAGAGTAAACCCTGAAGAACTGTGCTGGAATTTAGTGCACTGATCGAACTGAGACTTTGTCTCCCATTATTCATTCATGTCAGTATTAGAAACATATTCAACTAAATTAGGGTGAATGTGTATAGAATGTGTATCAGTATGTAGTAGCCACTACCATTACTGTCAAATATAAGCATTATTATAAGTAGTAATAGTCAAATTGTGTATATATGATGTAATTACTTCTTAAATACATTTTTCTACAGCTGAATGATTTGGGTAAAATATCTAAATACTATTAAGATATTACGATATGAGAAGCTTTGCAAGTGCAGTTAAATTAGTAATTCATCTTTCAATAATAGGATTCTGTTCAAAGTTTACATTTTAAACATGTCCAGAAAAATTTACAAAAAGACTGAAATATGAACTGACATACTGAAGAACTACACTTCAGAACATATTTGTGCTGATCTACATTATAGGGTTAGTAGTTTTTACTCAGAATAAGACAGGATATTTTGTGGTTTGAAGAGGAAATTTTGATACTTAAGGAATTGCAACCTTTGCAGTTGACTAATTCTGTCCATTCAAATTGTGATTTTGATTCAGCTGTGATTAATAATGTAGATCTATATTTTTAATTTCCAATGTCTGCACAAAAAACTTTTAGTTTAGTTGTCTGCCATGGTGTGGGCAATGAACATTGTACATCTAGGCCTGTCGCAATTGCACATTTTGAAGCTCAGTATATTGCTACAGGAAAATATTGGGATAAACAATAATATTGAAACTACATTATGGAACTGACCAAAAGCAAGATAATCCCAGTAAACCAATTTTTAAATATACTATGTCATTAAAAGTCATGAGCTGCAGCAAATAAATAGAAGAGTTAATGAATAATATAGCAATATAAGTTACTTATTAAGCCTTTTACAGCTCAAATCTTGTTATTACAAAGAAAATGGCAAATATCTATTCACTATTGCAAAGAAAATATAGCCCCAAAATATATTGTCCTAGCTGTAATATTCTGAATAGGCCAATATAGTAATTATCGTGACAGGCCTATGTACATCTCCTGTTTGCACTTTGGTAATAAAGGTAAAGGTCATTAAGCTCTCAGGCCTGTTTCAACCATAAACACTAGTAAACAATGTTCCATACACACTGATAGTAGTGCCCCATCTGCCTGCTGTTGACACAATGTTGAGGCCTCACACATGTTCTTTACGTGTCTCTTTTGTGCCCTCTGCTCTCTCCTCTGTAGTCATACTTCGTCACTGACTATGATCCAACCATTGAAGACTCCTATACCAAGCAGTGTGTGATAGATGAGAGGGCGGCGCGTCTTGACAGTAAGTGCAATTGCCACATCGAAAACATACCTGGAGTTGTGTTTTTTCATTCACACATGTTTAGCACATAAACCCTGCACATTTAGGTTCTTCTTCTTCATAGGTTAGTTCTTTTCTCAAGCAAAAATACTCTGTTCCACCTTGTGATATCATGCAGTAATACAGCAAGTTCTCCCTTGTGTTTTCAAACTCCATTCACCTTCACTAGAATCATTTGGATAATTTTAGCCCTGGAATTGCCAAACTGTATTGAACAAAAGGTAAACAGTAGCTGTTAACTTGAAAACTACCACTACATGACATCATAAGGTGGAAAAGAGCATTTTGAGCTTTGGAGATTTAGACAGACTAATAAAGAGTTACTCAAACATGTGTGAATGGAACAAAACACAACTCCAGGTATTAACTCAATTTTTGCATAATAAACCTTTAACCTGTAACATAAATTAAGAAATGTCTATGTGTGTGTGTAAGAAATGTGAATGAAATGTGAAGTTACTAAACAGGGCACTTCTCATATTACCACATTTGATTCTCAACAGAATATGGTTTAGTTTATAATTAATCCGTTAGTACGGTGATTCATTGTAAATAAGACAAACACATTGTCCCTTTACATAGCATTGGCTAAGCTTGCATTTAGCAACAGAAAAACATTTCAAAATAGTTTCTATATGATTAAAGTAATTAGCGGCCATAGCCAACATTGCAAAATTAATAAACAAATGCTCACTCACTATACCACAGGCCATGAACCTTCTTCCTTCGGTGAGCTGCCTTTACAAAACGAAACTGTCAGAGAGCGACTAATTTAACGCTTACGAAAAATTGAGTAGAAGAGCCACAGCCTTAGAGGGGCACAGTTAGATGCCTATGAAACTAATCATTATCTGTTTATCAGTGCACTGATATAGGCATCAAAATGATGCATATACAACAGTAATGGGCATTTAATTAACAAAATTGTAGTTAATTTCAGCACAGTACATATAATTCAGAAAACCCTTGGTGAGCTACTTAGAAGTGGGTGGAGAGCACCTGGTAGCTCCTGAGCTGCACTATACACTATAAAAGGTGTGATGAAGTTTTAAATAATGTAAAATATAAATTGTATGTTTGATATGTATTGAATTAGGTTAATCAATACAATCACTCTCACTTATATTTGTGTATGTGTGTGCTTTAGTCCTAGACACGGCTGGACAGGAAGAATTTGGAGCCATGCGAGAACAATACATGCGCACAGGGGAGGGCTTCCTGCTCGTCTTCTCAGTCACTGACAGAGGAAGGTGAGTGACACCAAAGTCACAGCTTCATGTGCTCTGTTTGTACACCTCTGTTTACTGTTCACAACTGTGCACCCTCCCCACTAACACCCACCCACCCTCACCCCTCCACATGTAGCCTATGAGCTATAACACATACTTTCACTCATAGAACTTCTGTTACTGTTAGAGGTTGAGGCTGTTGGCATTGTGTATTTCTTTTTTTTTTTTTTTGTCTATTTCTATTTTGATACAGATTATAAGCACATCCTTTTTCTCCCCAACTTTGATTCAACGTGGATTTAAATGTATAAATAACTACTTATATTACTCTTCTGTTTTATATCAATGTGAAAACTCCTCTGTCTCCTTTTAAATTGACACATACAATTGAAATATATTTGCAGAAATATCAGTGTGCTCTGTGTTTTAAGTTGTATTGTAAAAGTTCCTAATGTATTCATATTGAGGTTACATCCCCCTGTTCCCTTTAACAGTTTTGACTTCCTCAATTTTATACTGGTCACTTCTTTTCATATTTACAATATTTTGAACTTTTAACTTGTGGCTTAAACAGTATATAGATGTGTGTTGTGATAGTGTACTATTACTTACTGTATGTCTTTATTCACCTTACTCATGTTCTAAATGCTGTGCCTGTTTGTGTGATTCACAGCTTTGAAGAAATTTACAAATTCCAAAGACAAATTCTCAGAGTCAAAGACAGAGATGAATTTCCCATGATCCTTGTAGGCAATAAAGCAGATCTGGAGCAACAGCGACAAGTAAGTGAGCCACACAGAGACATGCCAGGCCTGTGATCATGTTTACAGATAACAGCCCAGCTGCAGCTGACAGCTCAGGAACAGGAAGTGAGTGAGTGTATGAAAGAGACACAGAGGGAATCGCGCTGTCAGGAGATGAGCTGGGGCACAAGAGGGACGATTCTTAAAGGATGAAAATGTAGCTGTTGATATGCAGTCCCAGAACATATCCTACAGTGGACTTACGCTGCCCCCTTTTGGTGAAAGGGAACACAAACATAAACGCTGTGCCCATAGAAAACCATGCTCAACTTTAGATTGTTATCATATAGATTCATTTAAGTGTAATAAAATCCATATAATTTGTTAAACATGCCTTGTAATCTCTCTTTGTGTTTTAGGTAACCCAGGAAGAAGGGCAGCAGCTAGCCCGACAGCTGAAGGTCACGTACATGGAAGCCTCAGCTAAAATCCGTATGAATGTAGACCAGGCTTTTCATGAGTTGGTTAGAGTAATAAGGTCAGTTGTGTTCATTAGACTTTTATAAGAACTGTATCTTATGCCGTTAATGTTCAAATGGTTTCTGTTTTTTCTAACCTACAGAAAGTTTCAAGAACAAGAATGTCCACCTTCACCAGAGCCTACGAGGAAAGAGAAAGACAAGAGCGGGTGCCACTGTGTGATTGTGTGAGTGGCCTTATTTCACTGTAACAGCCCTCTGCCCCACTGCTCTGCCTCACGCATCCTCTGAGGATGACTGCCTTCTCACCTGCATGACTCCAGACAGATCTGTTCCTCTCACCAGGAACCACTGTCCCAGGACATCTGTATGGACAACAGACAATGCCAAATTAACACCACTTTACCTTCAGGTGTATAAAGTCCAACACTAAACAATGCCTTGTGAAATCTGCTCGACAACTTCATCTTTTGTACTCTGAAGGACCTTTCTTGCCTTGTAGTGACCTTTGTACCTGCTACCAGTGAGTGAAACTATATATCAAGAATGTTAATGACTTCTTAGTTGCCTCTTCTGACTCACAGAGAGGCGATCAAATGAAGCCTTGTGTACTTTGTGCCATATCCCCCTTTACTCCCATGTGCTTATCTGCTACTGTATATATGACTTTTTTGTGATTTTACAAAGTGTATTTCATGACTGATTAAATCACCACAGTACAGTGTGTGAGGATGATTTTGGTTTGCATATATGAAACTGAATATGAGTTTGTATATACAGTGACATTATAATACCTTGTCAGCCCTTAAGCCCGCTCCTGTGTTAAAGCTGTTTTCTACAGCATCTTTTTTCTTTGTCTATAACTTTTACTTCATCTCAATCGTCAAATCATGGGTGTCTACTGTATTTGATTTTAAAGTCTTAGAGGATGTAGGATTCATATTCAGCACCTGTTAAATGTACAGAAATATCAAAAGTTCAAACATATTAAACTAGACATCCGGAACACAGTGGTAGCACATTTTCTAGCTTTTACATGTTTTAATTCAAGCTCTGAATATTGTAAATGATTATATGTGTTAATCTTAGACTCATACAGCTAGACCCCATCACTTGAGTCCAGATCATTCCAAAACTGTAATCTCTATGAAACATTTCATTGATGTCCACAACAAATGTATTATCATTCCACTTTGTATTTGTCCTTGCATTCTGCAGAACTTGTTGTAAACTTGTGTCATTTGTAACAAGGACAGCATTGAGATCACTGCATAAACTCCAGTAGGACCTGTACTCCTCTGTGCCGCTGTGGAGTCCCACCACACAAAGTGCTGTTATAGCCTCCTCGGTACTTCTGCTTGGCCATAATGAAGTACTGACATCTGTCGCCTTGTCATCTTGTAATATAACCAACACACATCAGATGGTGGAAGTATGGACTTGAGTAAATGTTTCTACTTTTATACATTATTTTCTTATGAAACTAGTATTTTTATATGTTTATAAGTGAATACACATCCGCAGCTCAGCTGTATCTATATGTAAAGAGGAATATTTAATTCTCTGTTTTAAACTAAAGATTACTGTTGGCCCTAATTTAGATAATTTGATATAAAATATTCCTACTATAAAAGTAGAAGAGTATATTTATCTGGGGTTAGCTTCAGCTTGGTGTAAAATGGTGAGGCCCAGTTTGAGATTATTCTTTTTGATAATGTACTTTACACAAGAGCTTTAATTAAATATTATATTATTGCCATGGTCCATCCTGTTGAAAATTGTACATTGAAATCATAATGTGTTTTTTTTTTTTTTTTCCACAACAGTGTTGCCTGTGTTTAGCGTTTTCATGCTAAAATAAAACTACAAATATGAGCTATTGGCTTATTATTGATTGATTTCTTTCACACTCTACAATGTAGAATGGTTTAGTCTATAATACAGGTAGGACAAATAACTCAAGGATATCCTAGCTGTACTTTGTTTCAGTGTGAAGATGACCATAAATGCTTTAAGAATAGGGGAGAAAAAATATGTCTTGGATCCTGCTTTAGGCTTAGAGTGTTAGATCTTTGGAATAATGTTCTATCCATAAAATCCTTAAAAATGGGTAAGAATTAGACTCCCATCAGCCCCATGTCTCATTGAACCCCTCCGCGCTCCCCTCAGCTCACAAGTGGTACAACCCGGAGGAAGAGTCCGTCTCCCACCGCTCTCCCTCATTCACTTGACAATTCCTTTAGTTCGCTTTAGTGGCTCAGGAAACGGGTTTTATTCCGTGTCTTTTCGCCGTAACACGTCCGGTCTGTGGGGACATGGAGGGAGTGAGCAGCAACAGGAGTATGTCTTACAGTCGTTGGAGTTATGACAGGTAAACGCATTATCATCATCACTACACCTGAGCACTACGCTGTGTTTGGGTTTCTTCTGTCAAAGTATAAGCCGAGCACCGCCTGACAGAGAACAGAAAGGGCAGTTGGTGGCTGGTTTAGTGGGTTAAACGTGTCATAAACGGGCTATTGTATGGAAACGTTGTCTGGAGCGTTTTTCATATTACCTTGGCGACGCGGATGCTTGATGCAGGCATCTTATCCAGTCTCTTATTACGTCCACTGTCATTCTTATATCTGAATACGACCTTTTATCAAGTCAATATCTTACAAACCCCTGCAAATATTTATTGATTGATTTTTGTTTCGAGTTTGTGCCAGGAGAGAAACAATAATCATATACATACTATTACATATACATTTATATATATTTATCATACAATTTGTGTGTGACATTGTGCATTGTCTGTATGTAGCTAAAATGTAACAAACCAACAACCTATTTTAGCCTGTAGATAAAATATATTATTATGCAGTTGTACACAAGATTGATTGCATGATACATTTGCATTGAGTAACCTTGTAATTGAAACCAGTTGAAGTTCCTTTTAGTGCAAAGAGCCTTACAATTGTGTGAATCAAGTGTGAATGAGTCAGGGACTGAATGGTTCAAAGCTAAGAATGCCTATCCCCTATATACAATGTGAACTGTGCAATCAAAATGCTAATAATACTGGATACCCACCAGACTAGATTAATTACCAGGCAAATAACAAGCTCTCTGACCTCGGCCATTTTACTGGACTGTCTTACTGCTGTAAATTGATTTCCTATATGGCTCAGGGAAACAAGATATTGTGCATTGTAAGGTATGTGTAATATGTATAATGAAAGTGTATAGTTATTAAGGAATTGTTTGGTTATTTGTTAATGCTACAATTATTATTTGTTGAGTTCCAAATGGCCATCTCTTGAATTTGTTTATTATGATATTCCAAATTGTATTTTGTCAAAATCCTATATCAACATATTATACCATATTCTTTTTTGGACTTTGCTGTCTGGGGGTTGCCTAGTGGAGTGGGGAGGTATGTATGTTAATAATATATTATATCACTTAAACTGACATATTAACCTCATATTAACCTCTAAGCTGTTGATAAGCATAGACATTTTTCTGTAGTCTGAATAAAAGGTTTTGGTCAGTGATTTAATTCATGCAGAGCCTTTGGGGTGACCTAGAGTGTACACTGTGTCCTGGCACCAGTCAGTAAACAGTGTATCCTGGAGATGGATGGTGAAGGTGGGCCCACAGATCCTATTCGAAACCCGTCAAATACAGCAGTGACTCTCTCTAATTTAGCATGATAATGGCTCTGTACTTGAAATGTAAAATTCAGGAGAGGAAACTCACACACAAGGTGGCAAACTCCGAATGTTGTCAGACTTTTTTTCTTTTCTGTTCCTTGGCTCTCAGCACAGCACCTCTTAGGCTGCAGTGGGCTGCATATTGATTTGGCAATGCTGAACTTCTTTATTCAGTAAAAAACAGACAAATCTAAACTTGCTGTAATTGTTGGCCATTGCTGGGTTTAAAATTACATCACAATATTCTAAAGGGCAATAATATTTTATTCATCCACAAGGATGATTTTTCAGCACTAGTTCCTAATAGAAATGATAAGATTTTGAGATATTTCTTATTGAAATACGATGTAATCAACAGGGGGAACTGGCCCCTGCTCCCATTTGGGGGAATGACATCACATTAATCTGAATCATCCATTTGTATGTTCACCTTATTTATCTTGACATTACACCTGAAATTTACATTATATTGCATTGCATGTGCAACAGGAACACCTGGTTTACTTTGGTTGAAGGATGATGACACCATTATTATACAGGACAGTATACTGACAGAGGTCAAATAACTGCTGATATCCACATGACAAAGTGATGCTAGAGTTATCTTCCTGCTACACAAAGGCCCTGACTTCCAGTAGGGCTGTAACTAACAAACATTGATCACTGCTGGTGCCCACTGAGCATGTCTGAAACTCAGTCGAATGTCTCTGTCTGTGTTTAGATGCTTAGTCACTCTGTTTACCATACCAGTTTGTAAGGTGGTGTAAAAAGTATTTATCTTTTTCAGTAATTCAATAAACTGTTGTAATGTGGCCAAATGTATCACTACTAAGCTTTAGTTGTTCTGACATACTGGAGTATGGCATCAATGCACTGCCAAAAGTTGTTCCGATGTGAGTTTTTGGTGCTTTTTTTTTTTTTTGTGCCACATACACAATAGTCAATTATCTCTTACAGTGTATCTCTTACAAAAGTACAGTATGTAACTTTCTAGAGCTGGCAAATCACCAGCATGATTCCATGGAAATAAAAAGTTAAAACCATATGTTGGAATATTCTCCGTGGAGATATAGTTGTGTTTTATGCCATACTGTGGAAGATTATAGCCAAATGAACAATATTTCAATGGAAACGAGCAGGAGGAGGCCCTTTTCCAGGTCAAACAAGAGTCAGGTTTGTGGAGATGCAAGCCCGCTCCAAGTACAAACACGGTTTTTAAGTTTTTCTGTGCAATAAACATTTAAAAAAATATATATTTTAGTGTATTTTTTGCTAAATAGTTATATACCGTGGCTTTAAATTAAACTTGGACGACAATACACTTCTTTTTTTGTTTTATGAAGTGAAATCTATGCAGTATTGTGAATCTGTATTGTGTCATGCCTCATCAATCTTCTGCTTCATTGATTTGTATATTTGGAACAGAGCAGTAGCTTTTGCAGGTTTGACATACAGCATGTTGCTCAAGTGGAAAATAATTCACAGAGAAAATGTGCTAACCACTGAAACATTGTGTAAAAATTATTATTTTCCTCCTTTCTTCAAATATCTCTTCCCTCTTCATCTTCAAAACATCCAAAACTACTCCTGCTGGTGTTGTTCCTATCCCTATAGCTCGGAATTAAAGGAGTGTTAGTTGTTTGTTGACTGAAAATATATAATTCAAGATCTATTTTTGAAACTACTGCTTCTTTCCTACCAACCCTCACCCTCTCATGACACTTCCATACATCATCATGATTCGATTTTGACACAAATGACACCTTTATAGGGCTGTAATATTACTGATATACTGAGTTCTTTTTATGTGCACTGACTCTGATCACATATTTCCACCAGACTTTATTGAACTTTTATTTTTAGTTAAATATCTCTACAACTTATCATTTTATATTTTGAATTTGCCTCCACATCACTGGAGCTAAAATAGGTAAGACTAGGATAACAAATTTTGAAGTGCAATGTATTGCTGAAGAAAATATAGATGATAAATGATTATGTTGACATTATGCCTCATGCATAACAACCTTAAAGCAGGATTTCCCACATTAAACAATTATATTTCTACAATATTGTTAATGAACATGAGCTGCAATAAATACATGAAACACCTAATGAGTCATATACTTGCTTTATTCGGTTCTCTACAAGCTCAAATTTTATCATAGTATAGAAAAATAACTAAAAGTTCTGCACTAATACAAAGAAATAGTATATATATTGACCATGTTTCATGGTCATGACCAATAATCATGTTTAGAAGTATAGTTGATATTGTAATTATGGTGACAGATGTATAAGGAACAGCTACACGTTTGATGTGAATGAAAATGTGGTCCTGCAGAATAACATGAGCTCTGACACTGGAGTCTCAGGGGCTCCGAGCTGCTGCAGAGGTGATACATTTAATTATAACACCACCATTCTTCTTTCCTTATCACTATATGTCCCTAATAATATACTGTGGAGGAAAGGCATTTTTCCAATTAGTGTAGTTCTCTTTAATCTGTACTATTGAACATTCTTATCTCATTGGCAGCACTGGATACAGCTCCAGCCTATTTGCCCTCATTATGCACTATTTCTTTCTGATGCCTCATGAATGTGTGTGTGTGTATTATATATATATATATATATATATATATATATATATATATATATATATATATATATATATATATATATATATATATATATATATATATATATATATATATATATATATATATATATAATACACACACACACATTCATGAGGCATTATTTATTTATTTATTTATTATATATAGCTTACATAATATATTATAATAACAAAGAGAAAAATCTAAATATAATAATACATTCGAAATATGTAGCAAAAATACCAAAAGACTGTGTCAAATAAGGCATAATTATATTAATGTATATGTACAAGTAAATGAAATAAAATAAAATAGAAATACGTAATAAAATATCTCAGGTCATAAAGAAAACAGTGAAAAGATGGTATGATGACTGACATCTGTTACATAGTGGTGAGTTGTTGAACAGTTGTGGGGAGCATTATCTGTTACATAAGGGTGAGTTGCTTTATGTCTGTATGGAGTATGGTGTGTGTGAGTGGAGCTGTAGGAGCCTGTTGGAGAATGAGCTCCTCTGTCCCTCTTATGTCTGGTGCAGTGGGTGAGCAGGAGCGTC